GAGAATTTTTTTTTAATGCATATATATTTTAAAAATACACCTAATTAATTCCGTGCTTTTAGTGAAAGCCATCATTGCAGAAACAAAAAATGTTTATCAATGAAGGGCAAGTTGGACTTCGATAGCCTCTGGTAAGTTGTTTTCCCTGTTTATTTTGTACAAATGTTATGATTTGAAACTGAAAGTACATTGCAAATGGCGGAGTTTATAGGGGCCTTGTCTTTATACATATCATGCTTTCAATAACGGCCTCTCAGAGATCATTCATGTCCAGCTTGCTCTTCATTGAAGCATGTGCATTTTTCTTTAAATATGCACATTTTTTGATACAATTTTTATAAAAAAAAATATCTTTTTAAAAATATTTGTTTCAAGTGATACTTTCTATCTGTTTATCAATAATATATTTATACACTTTAAAAGTTTTAACTTTATACCTCACATAGTTTTGGAGCTATTGCAAAAATAAATTTTTGGACATGTTTACCTTGACAAAACCTTAAATGATAATTTTGCAAAATGTTCTTCCCGAGACAATGGACACAACTAAAATGACCTTTTATTTTGGCATTTAAATTGATAAAAATTCAAATTGATAAAAATTGACTTCACGTCTCTATATTAATGGAAAGGTTAGAGTTTCTGAAGATATAAGTACCAATATCAATTATCATTTTTACGCAAATTAACGAGCCATTGTGACGTAATGTTCGCTTTTACTCTTCTTATTCAGCACACTGACTTTGCTTGTTGTCCTGAACCATCAGTCAAATCTCGTCCGACTTCCGGTAACAGCGCAAACCTTGTCGATTGTACCGAAACGCAGCAGAATTATTGCAGATCATCTCGTTAAAAACTTCCTTTCGGTAACAAAATAAGGGGACAGAATAGAACTGAATTCTCATTAAATGTAGCAATGTTGATTATCTTCTCCATAAAAATATTTTTCTGTGTCAATACTTGTTATGAGTGCAGAATGAACCAACCGAATGCAAAGGTTTGTTTAACGTGAAAAAAAACAACGATAAATTCTATTGTATATATAGATGTACAGGTAAAGCACATCTTGCTGTAGTTCTCTTGCACTGGTCACATTTAAAAACTCAGAATCCAGAGTACAATATGATAATATATCATATTATTCATTTATTATACTTGTAACGTCCGTAACTTACAGTGAATCCGGATAGGGCCATGCAGTTCACTATAGCACCATCGAGCATCGTCTGAAAGGTCGAAGGCGCGATAATGCAATGGCGCGATAAGAATGAAACAATGGTGCGATAATGATGAAGCGATAGCGCGATGACGATGATGCGATAATGCCATGGCAATGGTGCGATAGCACGATACAGCGGCGATAGTCAATATTGCGTCAGTGCACTGTCGTCATCGCACTATCGTGCCATCGCTATCGCTTCATCGTACTATCGCACCATCGTCATCGCATTGTCGCGCCATGACTTCATCGTCATCGCACCATCGCTTTATAGTCATCGCACTATTGAGCCAAACTTCGATGGTGCAGTGAGGCGATAGTGAACTGCATGGCCCTATCCGTATTCCATATTACAGGGAGGGGGCAGATTTACTGTTTTTGTTGCCATGTGTTAACGTTAAGCTTAAAAATATTCCAGGACCTTAATCTTAATAACTATTGTAAGACAATTATTAATTGCAAAAACTTCATTCACAAATTTTCGGTTAAAAATCAATCCGCAGCAATTGATTTTTAGTACATCTATTTTGCAAATAAACTCCAAAACGCTTGCACCAGGGTTCATACTTTCTCCTCTAGGAATACACTAAGTATAAAGTGATGTCCGTAAACTATATTCAAGTTTCACTCGCATAGTAACTGTAAATTTAACTAAAAGTGTACTTTCATTTCGGTTAACAGCCTCGAAAAAGCAAAAACGATAGTACTAGTGCTGCGGTGTTTCCGATTTGAGGATCTAGGTTACAGATATTTGAAATGAAAATGGCAACAATCAAGCGTTTAATAATTTCATAAAACCTCGTTAATGAATCATTTACATGTAAATCAGTCTGTATTTAAGTGAAATCCAAGAAATAAGATGGGGTAATTGAAAGTTAGATGATTATGCCCCCGTAAACGAAGTTTCAGGGGTATATAGTTTTTGTCGTGTCCGTCCGTCTCCCTGTCTCTCTGTCTGTCTCTCTGTCTCTCTGTTTGTCCGCAAAAACTTTAACCTTGCCCATAACTTTTGATTTAGTTGAGATATGACTTTCATATTTTATTTTTCTGACATAACTTGCCAAATAAATTTTGAACTGTCATTTTTAAAACAAAAATTTTAAACTATATTTTTTGGCCATATCTTTTGACGTCAAGAGCAGGACATTTATACTTCACATATGTAATGTTTGTTGAGATATTCATGCTTATTCGTGAAAAAACTTTAACCTTGGCTATAACTTTTGAACTAAAAATGTATACTTTATATATGTCATCCTTGTGAGAAAATATACTTTTACATTTTATTTTGTAAAAAAGAATGACCATAAATTTTAAAGGGTTAAGGAAATTACATATTGGAAATGTAAATATTGCTAACAAGAAAATTTGACCCTTTGACCTTAACCTTAGGTTTTACAAAAAAAAATTTTTTAAATGAAAATGGCAACAATCATGCGTTTAATAATTTCATAAAACCTCGTTAATGAATCATTTAAATCAGTCTGTATTTAAGTGAAATCTTTTGGAAATAAATTTATTTGCATTTAAGAAAATTGAAATTTAGAGTGTTTCACAAACACATTTAATTTCTCGATCATATCTATGTGGGATTTTGAAGAAAAATCTTCATGCCATAACCTTTATATTAACGGTCAGTTAATGGAGCCGACTGGGGTTTTATACATGTGAAAACTACAATATTTAGATAAACTCTTTATTTTTATATCATATATATTTTACATTGACTTCAGTGTACATTCAAGTTTGGGGAAAATCTACCGTTCAGGTATTTTTAAGGGACTGTCTCAAAATACAGGTACATTTACTATAGGATGCACAGGAAAGTGCCATTTTTCGCACTTTAAAGCAAATTATACAAATACTACAATAGACTTTTTGCTCAAACTATAATATATGATGAGTAATACTATACTGTACATATTAAGTAAGAAACAAATTTCTACCGTCTTGTTTCCAGAGGGGGCATCTCAAAATGCCAAAATTAAATTGTTTTGAAATCAGTTTTATGAAATTGTAATTTAATTTTAAAACCTGTAATTTCTAACTTTTGTTAATCTTTTTTTTAATTTAATGAAAAATATTGCTTTAAAACTGTAAATACACTTCATTTTACCATGATGCGCGAAATATTGCGCAATGGAAAACCTAATCCGCCCCCTTAAAACTATATGATAGTTTCTGGATTAAATCTGTCAGCAGTGAAAAAAAATATATACCTCGCGCTTGTGCGGGATTTCAACTAGTTCTATAGAAATAGATTATAAAGAGTCCGAGGCGAAATTTTTTTTGCAGGCATGCTATAAAAGTTAGTTTGCAGTATCAAGGTAGAAACAGGTACATGTATCTGGTCTTTTTCAGGTTAACTTTTGATGTCTCATTGGGCTTAAATTCCGATCAGCACACGATAGTGTCAACAAGGCATGTTTGCTTCTCCATTACACCTGATCCCACCTGTAATGTTTATAAAGGCCCCCTTCTGCTCTGCTCAAAATTTTTGTTATTCTGATGGATTTTTAAAATTTATAACTGTGTGTTAACTTCATATTTCTACTAAAATACAATTTAAACCACTCACCAAAGATGCAACTTAAGGTAATCATACTTTGTAGAATTGTTTAATGCTAGTAATTTACAGAAGACTGCAGTAAAAACATATATCCATCATCCATCAATCAGAATTAAACTGACCGGATATTAACGGATGATTATGTTGTAAGGTGAATATGGAGTCTTGATTATTGAGTCTTTAATGTTAGAGGTTTTTATGTGGTCCTGTGTTAATGAGCCAGTCATATTTATCTTGAACGGTACAATGCGATATATATTATAATTAATCAAGCATGATATCTTCCATCAATCGAGCATGCGGTACACTTAAAACTATAATCCATAAATCACGGACAGTCACCTCATCAACTCATGCATCATTTTCTTTTGAGCTGAGAGTGAAAAGATCCTTTACATATAAAATCATTCAAACTCAGTTCTTAATCTCTTTATTAAAGAACGTAAACCGTTATCTATAGAATCTACATTTTGTAAAATTTTGCTGTTATGATAAATCTCCATTACTTTATATTTTATATTGCTGAACAAAAGGTAAAAAATTCGTAAAAACAGCAAAAATCGATGATCATGATGATACGTGATCTGTTTGGATTTATGATATTTTTTTGTAATAATTATTGTCAATACACGTTTTTAAATGCCCATGCCTGATAAACAGATTGCAAACTGTGTATCAAATTAAAGTCTTGGATTGTACATGTATAATCAATGAACACAACATATACATGTAATTAAATGTTAATGGTTTTCAAGAAAATTAATTTACTTTGCTATGGATATAAAGTTTTGATTTAGCTCACCAAAGTCTAAATCACGCTAAAAATTGAAAGTTAGCAGATGGATTTCCATTATTTCTAATGAAACCAAAAGGTTTATCGTTTTACATTCGATACTTAATGGACGAAAAAGAAATTCAATATGTATAGTTTTTTGCATAAGAAGGCAGTGTAATGAAATAAATGTCATCAAATGTCGTCCAGAATTAAACTGAGTATAGGTTTTAAGCAATATCATTATACTTTTTAACCACCTCGCCTCGCAGCACTACCTGTCTCATTAATGATAAAAATTACAGAAGCCAGGGACAATTCACCGCTCAGCAATCACTGATAATTACAGATACTCGCCGATTGTTGGAGTCTAAACCGGAAGATATCGTCACTACAACCGGAAGCGAAACAAAACGGGTGACTTTGATGAAAAGTTCGATTCAGCCATCTTGACTAAATGGTAGACAACTTGTCTCCACAAAAAGTGTTGTTCGCCTGAGGTCAACTACAACCAAAACTAATGCTCGACAAACTCCCAATTATGAGATAAATAATTGTTTCCTCCCCATTTCCATGCTTATCCTTTAACCAGGACACTAAAGGTACATACATTGCAGCTGTATTTTTTCATGGAATACGTGTCACATAATTTACATCTGTATTCCACAGAGTGGACAAAACTTTACATCGTTTACATTTAGACAGATAAGCTTATTCTGATTTGTTTGTTTGATTGTATGTTTATTTACGTCATTCATATAGAGACGTCACCTTATACCGGTGAAGGTATAAATCTATACATAGCACTTTTGGCCATTACACAGTGAGAGTTCTTTCATCGGGCAAATATCATCAGTAATGAGCTATTTGTACAATGCACGTCCATTTCTAAAGGCGTAAATTAAAATTCATTAATAGATAAAAATTAAAAATACAGTCATTCATATATGTGTATATGCATATAACGCATGCATTATTCATCATGTTTAAATTTTTCATGTTATAATTTAAATTACTTTTTTTATTTTAAATACCTCAAATGAAAAGAAAATGTCAGTATAAACAAGAAAGATTGACTTGCAACTCTCTCTCTCTCTCTCTCCCGTACCAATCACCACCTGTCCTTGATAACGACACCAAAGACAACGTCAGTAAATCAAGTTTGATGCAGACGAGACTTTTTTAAACAAAAAAGTGTCACATGAGCATTGAGAAACGTTCTTGAGATTTGTACTACGCATGTAAGCCGCTAGTGATTGATATTTTCATAGATTGGCTTGATTACAATGAGCTAAGTATTCAAAAGCTTCATGACACTTTTTGCAGTGTGTTTTAAAGCAACATGGCGTCGATCCCTCTACATCAGGTGGTACTGTCATTGTAACAGAGGACTGAGAGCAAGTAATATACCCACTTCTCCCTAATACAATAGCATTTAGTAATTAGTTTTGTCTTGTTTGTTCTTTACAAAAACACTCCTGGGTGTCGTTTTTCAGTAACTCAATTATCACAGAATGTCTTTGTGCAGTTTACAGCTGGTCTACGCCATATTAATTGAACTCTCTTGTTTAGAGATTTAATACTGAACGAGTGCTAAATTTTACACGGACATTCGTACTTTTCCATTTTCTTTCAAAATGTAATTTTCTTGGTAAATGAAACTTTTGTTTAAATGTTGTATATGGTGTATGGTGTCTCTGCAGCTTATCTGGCGCCCTAGACATCGACCTTGTGGAATCCGGATTACTAGATTCCGGAATTATAGGCATCTACCTTGTGAAATCCGGATTAAAAGATTTGTAAAAGCAAAACATACCTGCATTTTCCCTCCCTATGTCAGTTGTCATCCTATCTAAAAATTCTTCAACCTTTTCAAACTTGGCGTATTCCGGATTACTCGGCATCCCATAATGCACTCCGTCGGCGACGATGTGACAGTACTTGTTTGTGATGTAATCTTGTCCGTTTGGGTTGTAGATGATTTTAGTCTTGGACCACCGATACTCGTGCAAAACAGCCATTAACATGAGAACTAATGAATTCACACTGGACCCAACCCTGGTCATCAGACGAAATTCCGAGTTCTTTAAGCGAGCGAAGTCACTGGCCATGGCGCCTGGGGTTATCATTGGGAGGTTCCAGTACTTTATCTGGCGGACAATCGGGGCAGCGGCGTAGTCACAGCAGGGACCGAGGAACAGGTGAACCTCCCTGTCCACGTAAAACTGTATAGCTTCCTTCATACCTGACGAAAGGAGACCAAAAATGTAATATTGTTAAATTAATTAGAAACAAGTTGTGTTTATGAGTCACTGATGCCCCCGTATTAAATGACTAGAGTAAAAAAATTGAAATGCAAGTCAAATCCGAGGTCAAGATCAAAGAGTCAAAATTTTAAGATATCCAGAGAAAAGGCTTTGTCACAAAGGAAACGTACATCAAAGTCAAATACATGTACATGAATGTGAAGTACGAAGTCATTGCCTCTGTAATAGTTCAAAAACGAAAAAAAGGTCAATAATGTTTGTATATCAGGGAGGGTCTCCAGGTCAATAATGTTTGTATATCAGGGAGGGTCTCCAGGTCAATAATATTTGTATATCAAGGAGGGTCTCCAGGTCAATAATGTTTGTATATCAGGGAGGGTCTCCAGGTCAATAATGTTTGTATATCATGGAGGGTCCCCAGGTCAATAATGTTTGTTTATCAGGGAGGGTCTCCAGGTCAATAATGTTTGTATATCAGGGAGGGTCTCCAGGTCAATAATGTTTGTACATGTTTATCAGGGAGAGTTTCCAGGTCAACAATGTTTGTATATCAGGGAGGGTCTCCAGCATTGAAGGTTTTTCTTTCAAAAATAGGTTAAATTACAAGGTCAAGATGTTAAAAATGTTTAATTTAAGAGATTTATTCACAGAATAAACACATGAAAGCACATGAAAGCACTAGAAAAAATCATTTAAATGAATGGCCAAGATTTAAGTTTGTTTTTAGCTCTATTGGTCAGAGACCAGAAGAGCTTATGCGATAGTAATGCGTCCGTCTGTCTGTCTGTCTGTCTGTCCGTCTGTCTGTAAACAATTTTTTAGAATGCTACTCCTCCTACAGTTTTGGTCTGATTTCAATATAACTTGGCACACAAGTAGACCACACTAAGATACATAATTCTGTGTATCGGTTTTTGATTTCAATGAACATGTTGCCGTTGTTACTAAAAATAGAAATTTTTGTGAAATTCTTTCAAAATACTACTCCTCCTACAGTTTTGGTCCGTTTTCAATATAACTTGGCACACAAGTAGACTACACTAAGATACATAATTCTGTATATCGGTTTTTGATTTCGATGAACGGTGTTGCCGTTGTTACTAAAAATAGAAATTTTTGTGAAATTCTTTCAAAATACTACTCCTCCTACAGTTTTGGTCCGATTTCAATATAACTTGGCACACAAGTAGACTACACTAAGATACATAATTCTATTTATTGGTTTTTGATTTCGATGAAAGGTGTTGCTGTGGTTATTAAAAATAGAAATTTCTGTTAAATACTCTCTAAATGCTGCTCCAAATAGTTTTAGTCTGATTTTAATATAATGTGGCATGCAAGTAGACTACACTAAGAACATAGGAGACTTATAATCAAGGATCATTATTCAATTTATTGCTGTTGTAAAGTTTCAAATTGCAACTACTTAAGTACTTTTCTCTTCTTTTGCTATAAGTACAAACCAGTAGAGCTTCAGTCTCGACAGAGACTTCTGGTTTTAATAAAAGGTTAAACTCAAGTTTCGACTCCAAGGTCAAATAATATAATGTTAAGGTAGGATTCTTCTCTGGTTCCTGACTAGATGAAACATTCAAAGCATATTTGCTTATATGTCTTACATATTGACGTGTAAGGACTTTAAAAGACCATACTTTTCTTTCCTCATCACAATTGTATAACTTTAAATAGAAATGGTAAAATGTGTTTGAAAACTAGCAGGTACTATATTTTTGGCGGAATGGTGGCGTATGAAAATATCTTCTTTTCTGTCTCTCAAAATTATAATAGAACAATGAATTTAGTTATAATTTTTACACAATCAAAGACTTGGAGAAATTTTCAAATGTAAGTTAGATTAATAATGAGGGACTAAACTTTCAAAATATATCAATTAAATATGATTTTTCAAATAAACTAGAACTTTATTAGCTTTTGCTATTAAAGTGCAGAAGCCAAAAATCCATAAAAAGTATTTTTTCTCTATTAATAAAGGATCAAAACTTTTTGTTTTTGTATCATTTTGTACATTTATAAGACTACTTTATTATATGTGAAAATAAGAAAAAGTTAAATATAGGAAGCATATGAAAATAACTAATATATCCTAAAGAAAAACAGAGAAAATTCGGATTAGCCAATATCCAGTTAAGTTTAATTATTTATGTAAATTTGGTAACATCATGCTATAGACCCGATATAGTAATATGTTTTTATGCAAAAAGAACAATCATTAAACTCTTGAAAAAGAAGTAGGTATCACATGATTGGCAACAGTTATTTTTTATTTTTAATGTCAAGGAGAAAAATAATGACCTTGACCTGACCTTGCCTCTAATATAAAGCGGTCAAATTTAATTTCACTGATACTATCACTTACTGATATTGTCTTCTTGATTCTGTGAAAATTTCATTAATTTCTAAATATTAGAAATATGAGAAGAATCCTACCTTAAACCCTGTATAAGAATCTTTTCGCAAAGAAAGCATGAAAACATAAAAACTCTAACCAATCAATTTTTATGGGAAAGATTCAAGTTTTTGCGGACAAATAGCTAAACAGACAGACAGACAGATGAATTGACAGACAAAAATCATATGCCCCCGAATCTTGGATTACAGGGGAATAATAACGAGGCCTTACAAAGCTTATCGACAAATTATTACTATCATTATTAGAAATATGGAACAGGACATCCTGTACTTTGTTTTACTAGGCAAGGAAATAAGATTTTTTTTTCTTTCTAACTGCGGTTGATTTGTTAATTTTATCCCACTAAGCAATCGCTTTTGATGTTCTGTGTTATCTTATTAAAAACATTGATATATGTTTTACTTTCAGCTTTCTAAGTATCTGATCTGTTTTTTCAAAATAAGCTTTAAATTCAGTCACGCAAATACAGCTTCTTAAGTTTATATACTATTTTAATTTGTAAGATAACATAGTCAGATATCACTTTGTTAAGCACGCATTCATTATAAAACACGATTTTTTTTTATTAAGGACGCTGATCATTCGGTCAGAAACAATGAGTTTTGAGTTCATCATATTAGAGACTCAGTTTTAAAATGAAGTTTGAAATTGAATCTCTTCGTGCCACAATATCCATTTCTACTTATTAATAATACGATCCGAGACAGTTCGAAATATCTGAAACCGTCGTGTAACAAGTTAATAGAATTATTGAACACGTCAAAATAAGAAAAGCAAATTCAAAGAATTGCGGTCCCCCGCTTACGGTGCCTTAGTCGGTTAGATGTCATTATTCATGGCATATTAATATTATGTCAAATGATAAGCATCATGTAACAAGTTTCCAACCATTAAATTTGGTTTATATTTAAAGCAGGGGCCATGACAATCACAATTTTGAAAAAGATTTCAAACACATAACCATGCAAAAGCTGTGTTATGAATTAAATCAGATATGTTAAACACTGTTTTTGTTCAGAAAAGCATCTTAATATATGTGAAATTGATGGAAACTAAATGCCAAATACAAATCTAATAAAAAATACTGAGAGACAGCGTTAGTAAACAGGTCTGAAAGTATGGGGACATTCACAATGAAAGATAATGAATTTCAACTAATAATCAGTAGTGCCCCCCACTTTTTAATGAAGAACAAAATCACAGCTATTTTCAAACATTAATACAATTTTAAAATTGAAATTGAAAGTAACTTGCCTTGTTCCCCCCCCCCCCCCCCACGAAATATCATAAATGTTTCAAAGAACTAAGCCCCCCCACTTTTAACCAAAGAAGGAGCAGATTTCAAAGCATTAATTCATTTTCAGCCTCTATAATATACACTTAGCATGCTTACTTTGGTTACTTAATACCCAGAGCCAGAGTAGGGGAACATAATAATGAATTTCAACTAATAATCAGTAGTGCCCCCACCCGGAACCTCACACAATTCACAATTTTGGAAGAAAGAATTGTTGCTCATCAATAGCTATACAGATAGTTCATCTGCTTAACACCCAGGGCCAGATCTATATGAGAAGATTTTCAAAGACTCGTTTTCACTACACCCTTCTTCATCATAACTACTGATTATGTTAGTTTATTTAATACAGCAGAGGAGAAGATTTTCAAAGAATTAGATAAATGTATTTTCACTATATAATCTATATAGCCCCGCCCTAGCATTAGAACCCCTGACCCTTTGGCGATGAACTTTGGTAAAGGACTCAATGCTTATTACAATCATGCCAACAGTTTGACTGCTTGATTTTTTAAAGATTGAATTAATTTTAGTGGTTTTTGCCCCACCCCTCAGGCCCCAGGGAGGCAATGACCATGAAATTCAAAATTTTTGTTTCCCTTTACCCATAGATGGTTTAAATGCCAAATTTGGTTGAAATTGGTTCAACGGTTCCAGAGAAGAAGCTGAAAATGTTCAAAAGTTGACGAACGACGTACGACGAAAACATTTACATGTAGGTCAGGTGACCTAAAAATCATAGCATACGTATAGTATACTAATATTAAGAAAGGTATTGTCACAGATTATCATGTGAAATATGAAAGCCATATCTCTTCTTATTCAAAAGTTATGACCAGGGTTAAAGTTTTTGTAACAGACTTACAGACGGACAGATGAATGAGATTAAATGCCCATTCGGTTTGCCGAAAGCGGGAGACAAAAATGCACTAAAGATAGTTTAATAAATTATCTTCCATCCTTGCAATAGGGGTAAAACAAAAACAAGTGGTGTTTGAAAATTACATCGTTTTGCACAGAGTCGCATAACGTTTTGTAAAGACATGAATTGAATTGTGGATAAGTAGCCAGGGCATCAACTTTAGTTGGAAATGTGAGATAATTTGCATAACGGGCAAATTCAGAAGTTTTTACAAAATAAACATTAAGAACCTTTCCAACACTGCACAAAAAAGAGTTCTTTTTCTGTGGTATTTTGCAATTACAGTGATATGCCCTTTGATCTAAATTCAAAAAATTAACTGAAAATCTGTTTTAATCAATTTGTTAGCAATACAAGCATTCTTAACATTTCAAAAGACGAAAAATGCTATGATAAATCAATGAAAATCAATGAAGTAATCAACATCGATTTTTGTTGCTTGAGACTGTCGTCTTTTTATAACATTTTTTTCTGGAGGTAAATGCCCCGTAGCATATACATGTATTGAAATTAAATTAATAGATACGCTCAAAATTTACATACTTTGTCGATATGTTATTAAACATTTTGGACTGAAAGTTTCTTATAGTTAGATTCATGAAAGAAATGCCATAGGACATAAAAGTAACTAGAAATACAGTTTCTAATACAATGTTACAGTACATGTATGTTATTTCTATGACGAGTATATTTGTTACTATGGTATACGGTACACCCATCATACTTCTCTGCGGTTTGTATCACTTAGTTATGAGTTTTGATAGGGAGACCAATGTCTCTCGTAAAAAATCTCAAAACGAGGAGAAAATAATGAGTTTTAGATGAGCTTGTCAAACGGTGTTCAACAAAGCGGCGTGCAGTCACCTCCCCGGCTAGCAGTATACCTGCGCTCGGGGGTTCCGTCAACTCATATAATCAATACGATACCCTTGCAAGGGGTAATTCAATCGTAGGGGATACGTTCAATTTTTTAAAAATTTCTTTCTAAAGAAAATGGCTTTTAAAAATTAAATTGTTTTCTTTTCTCTGTTTTACAGCGAATGTCTTATTTTTTTTCACATTATTTCTCTCTCTCATTAAGATAAGAACGGGGTGGGTCATGGTAAGAGTAAAAATATTTTAAAATGATTAACTTAGTGGGTTTTTTAATAAGATTTGATAAACATGACAACAGAACGAAAAAGAATTTTGCAAAAATTGAATTCTGAATTGAGTTTTCTTGACAGTTTCACATTTGGACACATTAAAAGTTCATAAAAATACGTGCATGTATCTTCAGTGAAATCGTTTTCAAAAATTAAATTCTCCTGTACTCTTTAACTTTTGTATGCAGAAAACCTTGTAATATTTATTATTTAATTAAAAACTCACAGCAGCTCTAATTGAAGCTTGAACTTTATTAAACAAAATTTGCAGTAATAGACTCAAGGCTGCAGAATCAATTTTCATGTCGAGTCGCCGCATCGTAATAGGAAAATACGCCAGGTAAAATAATAAATGCGAAAATAATACCCAGGATTGAATTAGAGAAACTGAAAATTCTAATTGCAAAGTAAGGTGCTCAAACTAGGTCTCGATTAACAGACTAAACCATCAGAATGGTAGTGTCTTCCCACAAATTTTTATTAAAATAGAAAATTTGTTTTAATTGAAAAATTCAAATATTTGTAGAGGACAGTAGGGACCAAGTCAAAAAGACGTGTCCGGTCTCAGATAAGACCAGGCTAGCTAGTAGCTGCAGCTCTTCAAAAACATTGAGAAACTGGAGAGCTACATTGCCACTCATATAGTAAAAAACATACTTATTGCAAGCAAAAAGTTGCGCTCGGTTCTGGATTTTTTTTTTCAAATTTGATGTATAAAAAAGCTAGATTTCAAAATTATTCGTAGACCCATATCTGATTCAACTACATTACTTTGTTCCCTTACAGTTGACATCAGCATGAAACGCCTAGGACCGATTGATCTTACACTCCAAAATGGCAACTTCAAAAGGAACACATTCGGATGGTTTCAAACTTAAGTCCAGAAGAGTTATTTTCAACGATAAATGTGAATGTTTTGATGTGGAAATGGTAGACACGGTAAGTTATATTTTAAGATAATTTAAATTCACTGAGAAATAACTTCTCTGAGTGGCTTTGTACGGCTGTAGCTTTCTGGTCATCAATAATTTTACATTCGAGCGAGCTGCAGAGTTACTCCATCTACAGCTTGCTAGTTTGTAGTTATTCACGGGAAAAGTACATTAAGCGCACATGTTCAATTACTAAAACACAATAATAGACAGACTCTATCACAAACAGCCTATATGAACCAAGTTATATATATTGACGAAAAAAGTACATTGAGAAAATATTTTCAATGAATTTTTAATAACAAATTTATATATATTGTATGATACTTTGTCAATAATTTTTGAAAACGTTGGAATTTTTACCGGAAAGGCTCAAGTTAAGTTTATAGCCAGGTAAAGTCTATGATACCTTACAGGTACGAATTATAACTAAATTAATAGCTTACATTTTATTACTGATACACGTGGTGTAAAATGTTATTGAAATTTTATAGTGTGTGTCAAGGTTTAATATTTATGAAACGTCCCTGCGTTACTGGCGAGTCCGGTGTACATGTCAGCTGACTATGTAATCCCCACTGCAAAGAAAACAAGCAAATTCAGAGAATTCGTGTCCCCCGTAGTTTTTCATCTTAAGTAAAAAAAATCGATAAAAAAAAAGCATTGACCGAGTTCACAATTCTGTCCTGTTCAGGTGCAATATCTTCTAGAAGTGGGTGCAATATCTCCAATAAATGGATGCAGTAACTCCTATAAATGGATGCGGTATCTTAGTCCGTAGTTTTTCATCTTAAGTAAAAAAAATCGATAAAAAAAAAAGCATTGACCGAGTTCACAATTCTGTCCTGTTCAGGTGCAATATCTTCTAGAAGTGGGTGCAATATCTCCAATAAATGGATGCAGTAACTCCTATAAATGGATGCAGTAACTCCTATAAATGGATGCAGTAACTCCTATAAATATTCATTCATGTTATGTGTAACGCAAGTATAAATCCCATAATGTTATCGGCATCTGTCTCCATTGGATGTTTTATTCATGTGAACTCATGTATTTAAGCAGCTATTCCATAATCCTATCTTCTACAAATCACCTACATATATTTTCTAAGATACGGCATTTTGAGATACTTTATTTCATCTCTTCCAACAAATGCCCCCGACCAGTTATGACCAAAAAAACTCGTTAACTGCTTTATGTGCAGCCCTAATACAATTAAATCTAAACTTTAACCTTTTCAAAATATATAATATAAAGATAATTTCAACTACCGTATATACTCGCCTATAAGTCGGTCCGCCTATAAGTCGGTTGTATTTTTTGACTTTATTTTGGTGGGATTTGCTATTGACCCGCTTATAAGTCGGTACAATTTTTGCCAAAATTTGGTGACAATTTCAAGTAAATCCATTGATGTTTTTACCTGGTTTCAATTAATTTTTCTTCGAAATGACGCAGATATTTAATCTTAAATTATTAAGAAAAAAGGCAATGCTCACTTAAAATACAAATAAAATTATTAAAATATGTAAATACATGTACTTTATATATATAATTTTTCAATTATCTTATATATATATAATCGGAAATATAAGATACTATTTCAGAAAAATACCAATCTCTTTATGACTCGCCTATAAGTCGGACATAGAGTTTTGGACATAAATTTAACTCCCAAAATACCGACTTATAGGCGAGTATATACGGTACTCTTTTATCGTAAAGAATGCTTTTACAATAAAAAGCAATGTCATTACCGTGTTTTTTTTTTTAGTCAAACTCTATGCCACTTTGTTCGAGTAGAACCGAAAAAAAAACATGTAAATAACGATGTCACATATTTGTGTATCCTATCCTAATCAAAACTGGATTAAGATCAAACCATAAAAAATATCAATGTCTTTCCAGTGAGCAGTGAGAGGATGTAACTAATTAGGAGAATGCAATGTCGAAAAATGTCGTTAACAAATGCGCAACAGATGACGGCGCAGGTAAGACGCAGGCTTAACCTAATGAAAGCATTCTAACCCGTCATTGTGTTGAGCTTTTTAACTGAATCATAAAATATATTTGAGGTATAATTATATATCAAGCACAGTTTATTACATCTAAAGAAAACCTGTAGCGATACAGATGAATTATTCACTTATCCCTTAATGTAGTGTCTTTTTAAGTTTCCCTGTGATATAAATAAGTTATCAATGATCTAAATACTGCTCAGTGGACCTTATAATTGCCAGATACTTACCCACTTCTATGCTACATTCGGAATCTGCAAAGTTGACGGAGATATTGTGATTTGGGAGCAGTTCCATTTCTCGGACTTTTTCGTTAGCGATCTCCAGGGCGGGCCTGATCCGCTGGATGGAGAAGAGTCGCCGGTTATCCCGGGGGATGATGGTAGCTATTTTTATCACCTGGGTATCTTCCTCCATTCTACCTGACACTAAATCTAGCACTAGTAACACTATTGACACTAATAAGTGTAATTTCACAGCCATTTTAAACTCCACGGCATTCAATAAACTCCTCAAATAAAATACCGGAAAGGGCCCTATAGAACGAATTCCCGAAATTGTCGCGATACAGATGAACATTCCATACAACCACCATGTATTTCCATCTTCTTACACTAAGGGAAACGTTAAAGAATAAAAAATAGCACAATTAATGATTTAATTAGGATTAAAGGACATTTCTATTTGCCGGCTAAATCCTCTTTACTCGGATATGAAGTCCTACAAACTCTGAATTCCTCGATCTGAGATTTTTAATGTAACAAACATCATCCACGGCAGAGAATTTTTCTCAATATTGTTTGCAAAATGAGACTTAGCATTCTTCTCTCTAATCCGGCAGTTTTCATTTGCACATCAGGAAATTCGCTGCCTGAACTTCTTATTACTTGATTAATAAAAAGTAAGGTCTATGTACCTCCTGGGATACTCACGCTTGCCTGTTGTTAGCGGGATTTTCGTTGTCATTAGGTAGTTGAGTGTAGACGGGGGTAAATGACGAGGTACAAGGTACAGCGACAAACTAGGAACTGTTAGAGGACGGTGTCATAGCCAGTTATAATAATCAGTCCAAACGTCAACTCGATCAATAATCCAATTACAAAATGTGAATCACCTTAAACTATCATCCTGTGTTAAGCATCCAAAATCTTCAGATTACAAGGAGAGAGCGTCGTCCTTACGTCGTCCTTACAGCATTATATGCCATCTTAAAATACCGGCGACAAAATCCTGTCATCTTTTTAAATCGTTAAGTAGGGAACTCTGTTGGCTGTCTGTGTGGGTAATGCTGAGGTATGGGCTGATGATCTTTTAAATAAATTGAATTCTTTTCAATATCGTTATTTGTTGTGAAGTAAGATACTTTTACAAAGGGAGGCTAGGGTTATAAAGCTCCTCGTGTTTTCGCCCTCCTCTGGTCCGATGAACGTATTGATCTCGGACAAAGGCCTGCAAATGCTTTTTCGCCTTTGACATGAAATTAATAAAGCACTTGCATTTTTATGTATCTACACACTAAATCATCTCTTGATATGAAAATATAACATTCCCCGATATTATTGCTGACCATTGATTTGCTTTTACGACGGGTCGCGAAAACTTAAGACCCCATATTGTCAATGGAACGCTGGGACTTATTCATCAAGGAAGTTGGTTTCCACCAGTATTTCCTCGAACGCGACCCCCTGATTGGTGGATATTTGAATAATTCCTGCCTACAACAATATTAAGAAAACTCTAACGGAAATCCTGTGAAGAATGAATCCGAAGGAGATAAGAACAGTTCGGATAACAACACGGGTATAATGTGATACAAAGGAGTAGCACATTATCCACTTTATTGAAAAAACACACATCTTAAGATAAATCAATACTGATTTTTATTAAGAAATCCTTATTAAAATGTCATTAAAAAAGAAAGCTATTTGAAATGATTTTAAGCTATAAAAAAGCGTTAATAAGTAATATCCCCCTCCTCGAGCCGAATTATTATAGGTTTTGGTATTATTCCTGGTTATTCTGTGACGTTTCTATATATACGGAGCGGCAAGCTTCAGATCCAGCCGCCCGCTGTCAATGGCAGACGTCTTTGTGTTATCCTGACACCTGACGCTGGACTCGCATCTCAGCTGTAGAAATCGACTTCAATACCTCTCAGTAAATCATACAGACTAATCCCAATCAAAGTGATATTTGACATCAATGACAGAACATTTCTTTTTCATTTTCGTTTTAATCAGACAAAATATATTATTTTAATTCCAAGTGCCTCTTTCAACATACAGTAAAAATTAAAAGTAATTTGTCAAACTTTGATCTATTGCAGCAATCAAGTCGATATTTCCTGCATTCAATGATCTTCAAAGGTTGGATTCCAACTGATATTAAACGCGGCTTTTATTTCCTGTCCTACATTTGTCAAGACTTGTTCAAATTCTCTTTCAGTCAACCGTAGTGTTTCAAACACTTCCAAAAGATTACTATAATTCCAAACAAAAAAATTAGTTGTAAATAATAAAGATTTGTGTAATTTCATACATTCGCTTGTAAAACAGTTTTTTTTAAAAAGGGGAATGGCCATGTCCAGCATATTTTAGGCAGATGCAATTGCATCGTTTTCGCTTTCCGTCGCTATGTGATTCAGTTAGAATTTAATGATGTTACATGTAGCTCTACGGAATATACATGTATAAATATGATATTCATACAGTGTTAATGCAGGTACTATAAGGCCTTGTGTTCTAGGGACACTAACTTTTACATGGCTCCAAGAGCACGAACTGAGGACATTAAGTCAAACTTTCAAATGTAACTTCAAAAATAATGTTGATAATTATTATTAGTTTTGATAATTAACAAAATATTCATCAGTCTGATTTTAAATTTTAAACGAAATTGCGAAGTTTTAAGATTTATGAAATTCAAGAAATTAAAAATTAAACTTTTTACTTAAGTTTGTTCTCAGTTTATGGTTCTATACCTTCTGCTTTTGATATTTACGATATAGCAGCCACTGGCGGACACCGGTTATTGTAAATAGAATTTTTCTTACAAATGTTGATAATGTTTGTAATATATATTTATATATACATGTATGTATGTATGTACATGTATATATAATGCCTTATGCATGTATGAGCTTTCGCTATATGCTTGTAAACATAAACAAAGAGAGATAAATACTGAGTGGGTTATTTTAACAGAGTGTGATCTGCAGTTTTCCTCTAAATTCTTTCAATTTGTACCATTACCACCCTTTAATTTAATTCCAGTAAAATGATCAAAAGTATTCTTAGACTAACACAAGCTTACATTTTACATTTTTCAATAGTAAAGAAGTATTCATATTTAACCAAAAAAATATTATTAATAAACGAGTTTCCATTTTCTGCCCGTTTTGTAGAGTGGAGCACTTTGTGTGTGTCAGTCCGTTTGTCTTTCAGTCTGGGAAGAGTCGCACTTACACATCTTCTACAGAATTTTACTGAAATAATACATCTTCTTACAGATATAAAATCGTCCTTTTATCAAAAATAATTATTATATAGATCGGTTTTAGCGTTAATCAATTGCAAGCAAAATATTCTATCAAAATATATCGAATCAATAGATATGAGTAATTGTCCGGTCAATTAAGCAAGAAGGGGGTGGGCTGAAACAAATTGCAACAGAAAATCGTTTTGCAGCATACATATGTATAGATCCCAACGAAATTGGAATAAAAAAAATCAAACGAAACCCAATACCGCAACATATTTTGTTGTGTTGTAGTAAAAATTCATTTTTTTTCTTTCAACTAGCTTTTTTTTTACTTGTTTAGTTCGGAGGGGGGGGGGGGGGCAAAATTACACATTTTCAAAATGACCCTGTTTCTGATGTTATCATTTTTTTCTTTTTATTTCTGGCACGTCAAATATCAAAATTGTGAAAACGCTGAACAGTGAACGTTGTGCTACAGTACCAGGGATAGAAATTTCTGTGTTCTTCTTTCAAAACACAACTTTTCAATTAGTTTTGTTTCAATATTAATAATATTTGACACACAGATACATGTAGGTAGCTCTGATGAACAGAATGTTTGCCGCGGACTATATTATAAACACTCAACAAGAACATAGCCGCCGGTCAGACTAGTACCAAGAAGAAGAAAAATACTTTAAAAGTAATAAATAAAAAAAATCTCTGAGCACAGAATAACAAAGAATACAAGTCACACCATCATAACGTTTTAGTGCATGCTATTTAAACAAGAGCTACAGTCTCTAACGACAATGTAGCTCTACTGATTTGCACTGAAAACAAGGGAAGAGAAAAGTAGCAAGTGGACTTGAAACTTTGCAGCAGCAATAAATAGAATAATGATCTTCGATTTCTGTGGAAAGATTACAATCAGACTAAAACTAAATCAGAGGAGTAGCCTTTAAAAGAATACAAACATTTTTAGCCGGGCTTATTGCTCAAAGAGCAATTGCCGGCTTATGTGATCCTGTTCAAGGCAGGATGTTGACCCCATAGTCGCCATTTTAAAGTTATGTGCAAAAATAAAGTTCTTACTCTCAACCGCTTTTGAGATAATACAAACGCTAAATAAAGCAACAAAAATAAAACGAAGTTTTATCTATATAAAATAAACATTAGTAGTAATGACTTTCAAAACTTCATAAGTCAAAGAACAAAGTTCATTAGCGTAAGGATTTTTGATAATCAGTGTTACCGTAGTTCTCTACACATACGAGGTAAAGCAGGAGAGGGAACCAGACTGGCCTGTTTGTTTACATTCAGCTGCGGTACCAGATTAATTCTGATTCTGACAAAATTGGACCGTGGTATTAGGATTGAAAAACTCACTGTCAGTGTCTTATCATTTATATTGATAGTTTTAAAATATTTTTTTCATCAGAATATAAACGTGATTCATGTAAGAAATCCATTCTACTCTGTAAATGAGCCCGGCTCTCTCTACTTCTGAGTACTTTGATTATGTTTAGTAATCATGACAACACCATTCATCGAAAACGAAATGGATAAATAGAATTATGAATCTTAATGAAGTCAACTTATGTGCCAAGTTATAATGAAATCAAAACAAACTGTAAGAAGTATAATCATTTTGAAAGTATTTCACAGATATTTTTTTGTTAAGTAACAATGGCAACAACCTTCTTCGAAATCAAAAATCGATATGTAGAATTATATTTTGTAGTATAGTCATCTTGTGTGCCAAGTTATTTTGAAATCAGACTAAAACTGTAGGAGCAGTAGTGTTTTAAAAGCATTTCACAGAATTTTCGACCGTTCATTGAAAATAAAATCCGAATAAACAAAACTATGTATCTTTAGTGAAGTATATTTGTAGGCCAAGTTATATTAAAATCAGACAAAACTGTAAGAGGAGTAGCGTTTTGAAAAATTGTTTACAGACAGATGGGCAAATAAACGGACGGAGAACAGACACCTTTCTATCGCATAAGCTCTTCTGGTATCTGACATAGTTCCATTGATTGATCAGTATGACATAGTTCCATTGATGGACCAGACATAGTTCCATTGATGGACCAGAATGATAGACATAGTTCCACTGATGATTCAGGATGGTAGACATTGTTCCATTGATGGTCCAGGGTGTTAGACATAGTTCCATTGATGGTTCAGGATGATAGACATAGTTCCATTGATGGTTCAGGATGATAGACATAGTTCCACTGATGGTTCAGGATGGTAGACATTGTTCAATTGATGGTCCAGGGTGTCAGGTTTAGTTCCATTGATGGTCCAGGGTGTTAGACATAGTTGCATTGATGGTTCAGGATGATAGACATAGTTCCATTGATGGTTCAGGATGATAGACATAGTTCCACTGATGGTTCAGAATGGTAGACATTGTTCCTTTGATCGTCCAGGATGACAGACATACTTCCACTGATGGTTCAGGGTGATAGACATAGTTCCATTCATGGTTCAGGGTGTTAGATATAGTTCCATTGATGGTTCAGGGTGTTAGATATAGTTCCATTGATGGTTCAGGATGATAGACATAGTTCCTTTAATGGTTCAGGATGATAGACATAGTTCCATTAATGGTTCAGGATGATAGACATAGTTCCTTTAATGGTTCAGGATGATACACATAGTTCCATTGATGGTTCAGGATGATAGACATAGTTTCATTGATGGTTCAGGGTGATAGGCATAGTTCCATTAATGGTTCAGGATGATACACATAGTTCCATTGATGGTTCAGGATGATAGACATAGTTTCATTAATGGTTCAGGGTGTTAGATATAGTTCCATTGATGGTTCAGGATGACAGACATAGTAAAATTAATGGTTCAGGGTAATAATAGATCCATGGATGGTCCAGGGT